TCAGGCGATCGGAGGGGGATGGGGGTCTACACCTCTGGCCGAGGCATCAGGCCTGGGCCGAGGGCAGAGCCAGCAATTGGAGGGGTCTGTGGGTCCCCTGCCCAGGCCTGATGCCTGGGCCAGAGGCATTAGGCCTGGGCTGGGGGCAGAACCAGTGATGGGGGGAAATGAGGGTCCCCTGCCTGGCCAAGGGGCCGATCCTGCGATTGGAGGGTGATGGGGGTCAACGCCTGAGGGCTCCCAGTATGTGAGAGGGGGCAGGCTGGGCTGAGGGACACTCCCCCCCCACACACACCAAGTGCACGAATTTCGTGCACCGGGCCCCTAGTTGTATATAACAGTATACAGCATTTAAGCACATAAAAGCCAATATCCTAAATTTAGAGAGTACATTTCCTTGAAATACCTTAGAGAAGTCTTACTATAATTTCAAAATGTTTTAACATATCCCAAATATTACTGTAGTTGACCCTTGCTGTTTATTCTAGGGCCACTATATAAACACATTATGGTCAAGAAATTTTTAGAGAGAATTTAAAACTATACTCTATTTTTAAAATTTGCTTTCCAAGGAGAGGATTAATGCAACTTAAAGATTTTTTGTGAAGTATAGGAAAAGTAAATGTTTAGGAAATTAAGGAAAGGTTGGAGTTTAGAAGGAGGATGATAAGGAACACTTCCCCTAAACAGGGTCAGTATGTAACAGCAGAGGCCAGTATTTAGTAACAGCAGCAGCTATGAACTAGTGTCTATTGCATGCTTACCATATGTCAGGCATTGCTCTTTACAACTTAAGCTTCACACATATAAATTCATTTAACAGCCCTTTCTGTAAGAGCAGAATCATACTGTACGTATTGTTTTATAGCCTGTTTGGTGTTACTTAATATATCATAGATGCCTTATGCCACTGATTTATTCCCAGGGTTTAGTGCAGGTCTTGGACATAATAAAAGCTCAATAAATATTTGGTGAGTCAGTATCATCATATCTTTCCAAATACTGCTGTTACACAGGGAGGAAGAAGTAATCTTAGAGGACTTAAAGACATGAAAACTTTAAATCCTAAAATAAGTGAAAATTATTTATTTTTAGATAACTAGAAATGATAATGTGGAATTAAGAAAAGGAAAAGTTTTCTTGGGATATTAAAATTACCTTGTGACTTTAAAATTATATGCAAGAAGATTCTGGGGAGGAGGTCTTTGCATGCATCCATGATCGCTGATCTCTGTCAACGCCCTACGGAACTGGCAGCAGTTCCAAGCGTAGTTAACACATGGTGTTGGCAGAGCACATGGGGTTAACTGGCACCTGGTGAGCTGCTACAGCTTCTTAAGGATTTTGAAGATATCTTTCCAACTGTGAAAAAGGCACTTTTAGGAATCTACAGAAATGGAAAGTATGGAAGTAGAAGCATATCAGTACAGCACGTTGGCACAGACAGAAAATGAGAAGCAAGCTGCATGTCTGCCTGTGAGCCGGGCAAGGTGAATGAACTGTTGTACAACTGTAGCATGGAATATTACACATCTATTAAAAGGGATAATTTAAATATGTATTTATTAACCTGAAAGCTATTCATGGTATATGAAGGGAAAAATGTATGGCCCCCTTTTTAAATAAAATCATAGAGGTGGGTGGGAACCTGGAAGAAGTGTGTATGGGTCTTTATGGGCTGTATGTCCATACAGAAGGTGTTGAATTGATGCACAACCAACTTTTAACATTGGCCACCCCAGCTAGTAGGGTGGAGGGCAGAGAAGGGAAGCTACTAGATTTTTCTTTGACTCTCTCTTTGACTTGGTATGCGTTTTATATAAAAAGGAAAAATAAATTAAAGGCCTACAAAAAAGTATTTTCCTTTGAAAAGAAGAAAGGCAGTGCGAAATCACATTGGGCAGTATAAAATGACCAAAAGGAGTAATTCATGGAGTGCTGTTGTTATTTCGCAGAGTATGGGAATGGTTTAGTCGACTTGGATTTTGCATCTTCCCTTTGATTTTCCTCATTTTCTTTTAATAAAATATAGTTCTGTAATTTTATCATTTTTGACCATTGTTTACTTGATTTTCATGATAAAGTATGCTTGATTATTTTTCATAATAAAAATGGTCTATCTAAATCTTTCCCCTCTTTCTTCAGCTTGAAGATGATATTATTGCCAAACCAAATTACTTTAACACTATCAAAAATTTTGCCCTTCAACTTTCTTCTGAGGAATGGATGATACTAGAGTTCTCCCAGCTGGGCTTCATTGGTAAGAAAAGTGTTGGATTTATCTACTTTTCAGAAATAATTGTGAGTTTTGGGATATTGGACTCATTCTTTTTTTAATTTTTTTATTTACTTTAAAGTTGTCTTTATTCTTTGGAAATGTATTGCTTTTGAGGAAATTCAGCTTAGAGAAATGATGTAAGGCAACCCAAAATAGTATTTGGAGATTTCTAAGGTTGTAGTATTTACTCTAGAGTTCTACAAGGTAGCCCTCCATATGTCCACATGCAAAGCCAGCCATGGTCCTGGTGAGCATGTCTGAATTCTCTGACCCTCTTCAATAGCCCACTGCTTTTGCAAGATTGTCTTTTAAAAAATGTCAAGTTAACAGTTTTCTAATATGAGTTCCTGGTATTTGGTGTAGTACATGAAGTTCCTGTCCAGTGACTAATTTGTATTCATTTGTTTCTTTTATTGACTAGTCAGGATACTAATTTAAAAAGTTTTTCACTAACATTCCTAAATTATCCAACTAAAGAGAGTATGTTGAAAATCAAAGAACTGAAGGAAATTTACAGGTTTAGAAAAACACCCAGAGGATAACATTTCATTTTCTATAGTACTTTAAAACTTTAAATATTAGAGGCTGTGCCTTTGATCTTGCTGATCACTTATCTCAACCGTAATTTAAGAGTCAAAAAACATCTTTACTTGTGAAGGTTTAAGTGAAGACAGAAGAGCTAGGAGTCTTTGTTTTTTGCATTTATTATTTTAAAAATTTGTTTTTACCCTACCCTCTTAAATTCCTTTTTTTAAAAATGGGAAGACTCTTATTAAGACATGAAGAAAAAAATCTCTGACTTGATTCTTGAATCCTTTGAACCAGTAGTTGTATGATAAATTTGTAATATAGAAAATCAGGAATTCACTACTTCCATTTATATCCAGAATAGCGGTCTGGTGCATGAGATTCTTGCATTCAGGGGGGTCCCTAAGCCCGGCCTGCTCCCTCTTGCAGTCCGGGATCCCTGGGGGGATGTCTGACTGACAGCTTAGGTCCACAGGGCCGCTCCCTGTAGGGAGCGGGCCTAAGCTGTCAGTCAGACATCCTTACCTCTGCCTGAAGGCGGGAGAGACTCCCACCACCACTGCTGTTCTCCCTGTGGGAGCACACTAACCACCAGGGGGCAGCTCCTACATTGAGCATCTGCCCCCTGGTGGTCAGTTTGCATCATAACGATCAGTCATTCTGCGGTTTAGTTGATTTGCATATTACCCTTTTATTATAGAGGATTCTTATATAGGACTAGAGGCCCGGTGCACAAAAATTTGTGCACTGGGGGTAGGGGGTCCCTCAGCCCGGCCTGTGCCCTCTCACAGTCTGGGACCCCTCGGGGGATGACCACCTGCTGGCTTAGGTCTGCTCCCCAGGGGGATTGGGCCTAAGATGGCAATCAGACATCCCTCTGGCAGCCCGGCAGCCCTCAGGGGATGTCCATTTGCCAGCAGGGAGCAGACCTAAGCTGCAGTCAGACATCCTTAGCGCTGCTGAAGAGGCAGGAGAGGCTCCCACCACCACCGCTGTACTGGCAGCCATCAGCCTGGCTTGTGGCTGAGCAGAGCTCCCCGCTGTGAGAGCACACTGACCATCAGAGGGCCACTCCTGCATTGAGTGTCTGTCCCCTGGTGGTC